GGGGGGGGGGGGGGGGGGGGGGGGGTAAGAGGACACTTTTTTTGGGGGGGGGGGGTCTCGAAATTTGAAAACTTGACATTTGGCACCATTGGGGGAGGGGGTAAGGTCACCTTTTTAGGTTAGCCATGGGAATAATTTTTTTTTTTAATAATTAAAAAATAAACAATTAAAAAAAAAAATCCAAAGGGGGGGGGGGGGGGTTTACATACATAAACATACCAAAGGCGGGGTTTAACCCCAAACACCCCCCCCCCCTGTGTACGTGCCTGTCTCCTCTCTCTCTCTCTCTCTCTCTCTCTCTTTTCTATACATCTCTCTCTCTACATAATATATTTCTCTCTCGCTCTGTCGCGCGCGCGCGCTCTCTCTCTCTAAATATATATATATTTCTCTCTTTTTCTTCACTACCTCTCTCTCTCTCTCTCTATTTATATATATATCTCGCTCGCTCTCTCTCTCTTATATATTATATATATATATATATATATATATATATATATATCTCTTGTTTTCTTTTCAACATAATAATCTAAACGCTCTCTATTTCTCTGTCACGTTATTATTTTAAAATGTATTATTCTATACTGTCCCCATCACCCCCATCATACCGTCACAAGGTTTTCTCAAAACCATTTGACGGAGAGTGTGTCTTCAATTATTTAAAAAAAAATGAAACACTTCCCATTATCTCCCTCATTGGGCGAGACATCAAAATCTCCGTTAGCCAAGTATTTTTTTGTATGGCTTTAACTCATAGCCTGCCATAAGGCTGCATGCACGCTATCGTTATGCTGCTTTGTCCATGCGAGAGAGCTACCGCTTGAGTGCCATGTGCGTGCAATGCAGCATTCGTAATAGCAGTTATTGTTCATGCTCATTGGACTGTGCTGTGTATTTTGCACTCGCTATTCATAGAACCATCGCGTTAATCAGATTATCTCCAAAACAACCTGGCACGGGGGAATTTTCGGCTTGGCACAATGGGGATTAGCCCTGTGGCATGATAAGAATTAAGAACGAATAAAATCGAGAGAGATAAAATACTCCGAGGTGACACCTATGTCTGCTAATTCATTTATTAATTAATTGATTAATTGATCTTTTATTCATTGTTCACGTGTACAATGGAACACCCTGATCAGCGCGATTTTTTTTTTTTTTTTAATATAAATTTTGCATATGGGTCAGTTAACCATTACAAAAAGGAATCAAAAACAACAAATAAAACCGAGAAACATGTGCACAGATAACAATACATACAAATGAAAATTAATGAAAATATTGATTTTTCCGTCTGTTCATATAATTTGTATACAAGAGCTACACCACAGGCTGAAGGGGACACAGTGTAAAGATACATGTAATTTACACTTTATCAAATTACTCTGAATTTAATCAAGATCTCACACAATTTATGACTCTGTAAACAAATCACTAAATTATTGCATCCAAGTTAGTTGATGAAATAATCAGAAGAACCAAGAGCGTACGGGAGCAATACCGCCGTGGTGAAAAGTAAACCCCTCTCCTTTCCAATTTATAATATTTCGCCAGCGAGCGAGGCGAGCGTCACAACAATTTTGACTATTTAACATTATAGTGAAAATGTAAGTAGTTTAATAGCCAAAATACTCCAAAAAGAATTAGAAATAAAGAATAGACAATTTTGCTACCCGAATCATCTTGATGGGATGGTTACTTGAATGATGGAAACTTCGATATTTGCGAAACTGTGTGGAGAGGGGGTTGCTGCAGCCCCCTAGCCCCTGCCTCATCTTTCACGGCTCTCGCTACAGCTTCGTATAATGCTGTTTGATTAATATTTCACACAACATTTCTCCCAGCCGGGACTCCTTTCTCGGCCGGACGAACTCTTTGCTTTTCTAGGACAATATATTTTAATCTGTTTGCACAACAGAACCAGCTCTTCTGTAAATCATTAAAGGAAACCAAAACCTTTATACTAAGTTACTTTTATTGTAAAGTTTAAGATATTTGAAAAATATCAGTGAAAATTTGAACAAAATCGGGCAAGGAATAAGGAAGTAAGAGCTTTTTTAAATTACTAGTCACTAGAGGGCGGTATTTAATTTGATGACATCATCTCTGAACAACTCTCCATGCCTTTTGTACATAAAATTTCACAATATTTTGTTTTCTTCATATTTATTTGTGTTCTTGATCCGACTTCATAACATGTGAAGTAGAATATCATTTTGCATTCTATATCTTGCTTTCAGGGGAGTACATTATCTCAATCACAAGAAAGAAGGAAAAACATGAAATTTGATGTACAAAAGGCATGGAGAGTTGTTTACAGATGATGTCATCAAATTGAATACCGCCCTCTAGTGACTAGTAATTTAAAAAAGCTCTTACTTACTTAATCCTTGCCCGATTTTGTTCAAATTTTCACTGATATTTTTCAAACATCTTAAACTTTACAATAAAAGTAACTTAGTATGAAGGTTTTGGTTTCCTTTAAGAAGTGTTTTCAGAATTATTATGCTCACCGTATCACTAAGTAGAATAAAACTCTCTCTATTATATTCAGCTATCTGATAGTTTTTGATGCTTTTGTACGAAAAAAAAACACTTTTTGAAAAATAAAAACGAGTTTATGATTGGTCAATAAATTATCCTTTTGTAACAATCGAATGAAATTTCAAAGGATTTAAAAAATAATCGCAAAATATTTGGAAGTTCATCCGAATGTGCAAACTTCTTACTCTTACGTATCTTCAGTTTATTTTATTTATTTTTGCACGGCACCAACTTCAGCCAAAGGCTGTTCTTCTGTTGTATCTGAGAAAATAAATTACATAAAAGCATTTGCATTCTAAACAAAGCCAAGGAACCGGAGTAAGATAGAACGTAAGAAAATTAAAGAACACTTAATTACATGCATATCATGCCGCATTAAACACATACGTTTTATGATTAGTTTTGAACACTTCGGATCGTAAGTTGTGTAATACAGTATAACCTGTCTGTAAAGACCACCCAGGGGAGACATGAAAAGTGGTCTTTATAGGCAGGTGGTCTTTAAGTACAGGTTCCTCTAACAAATGTTTAATTGAGAAACCATTTTAAAGGGAAACAAAACTGTGGTCTTTGTAGACAGGTGGTCACTAAAGCAGGTTTGACTGTAATATTCATTGTCATGTTCGCACATTTCAGTAGGTGACACACAGGGCCACTGAAAGAGATTTAAAGCCCCACTGTCCTACTTGTACACTGTTGGTCATAATGGTGGAATATTTATTTTTACCCCAGTGTAGGGAAGGATTTAATTTTTAAATAAATTTCTAATAGATCTAGATTATGGCATACATTCTCAGATTTTATTGAATATTGATTTGCGAGTGTTTATTTTGCGTGACTGCTAAATCTGTGCTACTATGCTAATTAGCTAGGGAACTACGTCCTTAAATCATAATTGACAGTAATGAGGATTAATACCTCACGAAATGGCACTAATATGGCTGATCGACACGATTTTATCCTGGGGCTCACAGTAACGAGGCCATTGCTTAGCCCCTGAATCATGACTGTACGCAGTGTTTGCTAGGGTACGCGGCCGCCCCCACAAATCCCCCAAAACGAAGAAAATGCAATAAATTGTCAAAAATTCATTGCATTTCCCCCGGCCCCCAACAGGAAAAATTCCTCTGTGTGGCCATGCCTTGAACCATAATGCATGGCCCTACAGAGGAATTTTTCCTGTTTGGGGCCGGTGGAAAATGCAATGAATTTTTGACAATTATTGCATTTTCTTCGTTTTGGGGGATTTGTGGAAGGGGCTGCGTACCCTAGCAAACACTGCGTACAGTCATGATTCAGGGGCTAAGCAATGGCCTCGTTACTGTGAGGCCCCAGGATAAAAATCGTGTCGATCAGCTATATATTAGTGCCCTTTTGTGAGGCATTAATCCTCATTACTGTCAATTATGACTTACGGACGTAGGTCCCTTATCTGATTAGCATAGTAGCTTAAGCAGTCACGCAAAACAAAAACTCGCAAATCAATATTCAATAAAATCTGAGAATGTATGCCATTATCTAGATCTATTAGAAATAAATAATTTTTAAAAATCCTTCCCTAAACTGGGGGAAAAATAAATATTCCACCATTATGACCAACAGTGTAGCTACTTGCTCCCTCTATATAGAAAACTTCCCCAATCGGTGCATGTTGGTCCCCCATGATCCTCTTTTTCTTATGTTATTTGAGAGCTGAGTTAATGAGATAGCCACCTGTCAGTGACCTCGCTGTGTGATCTAATCCCTTTTGGCCCAGTAGTATTGACGGTCTTTAAAGAGATTTTGTAAAATTTTTATGATAATTTTCTATATTCTCATGTTTGGAACAACGGCACAACAAGAGATGAATTCAAATATGAACACGTAGATCTGGGATCAAATAAATAGACATTGTTGTTGCCCTTGATTTATCCATGTTGCTATACTGTAGTCAAACTACCTAAAACACAATATTTTTTAATGTGATTGGTATACTTTATTGTTTAAGGACAGCGTTTGTCCCTAATCTAGAGTCTTGAGTTAAATGGTGAAGATTAATCAGTTACGGACCTTGGCATTGATGGTTCGGCTTTTACTAAACAGTCGGGTCGAGAAAAAGCATCCCGAGAGGGACATGTTTTCATACCCCTCCCCAATCCCCGATACAACACACTTGAAGACACCATACACAATATCATTGTTGTGTATGAAAAAAAAAGACATTAAAAGAAAGAGATGCGATGAAATTGGCAACAATAGTCAAATTTGACTAAAAGCCATTATAATACCAAACGAACGAAGACTAATTTCGGCCAGGGTGACGCACCGCGCTTTACCACGACCAAGTATTTAGTAAAAGCCGATGGTCCGACCATCGAATTAAGGAACACAATGGCTTCTCATTTAGGCTTAACAACACTGTAAAGGTAGATACATCACCTTTAGTTATTGAGGGTGCGTTTTAGTTTTGTAAAGCTTCAAGGAAGACCCGTTTGGGAATAATTATAAAGTGTCAGGTCATCCCCGTATGCGATACGATTGCTATGCCGGACAATCTTGCAGCACTTCCACTTTTTCCGCAGCTCTAGCGCCCTCTGACTGACTAAGGAACTGGTTGACATGTAGACGGGAACGTTCCACCAGCAGCTGCACATCAGGACCACATTGGATATAAAGATGAGGATGTCGTAGCTCTGTTGACTCAGTGATGCCTCCGAGGCCATTGCAGAAAAGGTGACACACACTGGAATGACAGACACGTAAAAGAGCCCCGTGATGATTAGGACAGTGCGAAGTCCCTTTAGTCCCGGTGTACTTGAACTAGCGTTGGTTGATTCCTGGTCATTTCGTACGCCTACAGATACAACATGCTCTTGCTGTCGACTGGCCCGGGTAGCTATGACCAAGAGACGGATGTTCATACAGGTAAGCGAAACGAACGGGATGAGGAACAAGATCCCAAATACAGCGAAGGTAATGAAAGTACTCTTGCCCAGGGTCGCGCCATCGATTTCTATATAATCTATAGATCTGTGCCTACACCAGCTTGTCATGAAGTCAGTCAATGGGAATCCGGGACCGGGGGAAAAGACGAAAGAAATTCCAAAGAAAAGGACTTCCATGGATATGAAGAGCAACGTGAGTCGCTTAACTGTGACTAGACGGATGTAATGGAATGGGTAACAGACGGCCAAATAGCGCTGCAGGTTTATGAGAGCTACGTGGTACGTCGAATTTAACACCATGAAGCTATATGCGAATGGGACGTAAATGCAGGCAGCAGCAGAAACAGAATTTGGGCTGCTGTACATGCATTCGAAGGTACCGACTAACACACCACTGACTAGATTTGCGATGGCGAGGCTGCGGTATTGGATGCGACTCACATCGTCAAACTCCCGGCGCCAACGGTGCAGGACGACCAAAGCAAAGGAATTGAACACCACTGTTACAACCGCCATTGCACCGAAAATTGCTGCCCGTATGTAGTCAAATAACACAGGCTCAAATACCAGAGTTTCATTTAATGAATGAAGTGAGGAATGTAACTCCATCCTTACTTGAGATCTTGGACGTCGAAGAATAGTATTATGTGTTCTGCACGTTGTGCTGTGGTTTTTCAGTTCAGGCTGCCTCTGATGTTGATCCGTGGACCATCGGAAACACTGTTTACTTGCCACTGTCGTTGTCTCTAATGTGTAACTACACTCAAAATACTATACATCTGAAAAGTAAAAAAAAAATCCCGACTCGAGCTACCAACTTAATGGGGATACGTGTTCAAAAGAAATTACAGTTTCGATTAATTCGACATTGCAGTTCATTATATACGCACTCGTCCCAATAATACGTCCATTTGTTGGTTTAAGTGCACCACGTATAGGATATAAGCTCCATCATTAGTGCGAATTATTCAGTCGAAAATGTATTAAGAGACAACGACCTTCGTTGGAAACGATAATCTGCGGATCAAATTGCCCGGTACAGTCATCAGAAGAGAAAATAAAATGGTTTTTAAAAGCACCCTTTAAAAGCTGAAATGTAGCGGAGGGAAGATTTGGGTTAAAGTGGCTGAAAGTATCAACGTTTCGAGAGAGAAATGGAGAGAGAGAAAAAAAAAAGGGAGGGGAGCAAGCAAATGATGAGCAAGGGATGATGATGATGATGATGTGTGTGTGTGTGTGTGTTTGTGTGTTTGAGCTAGAGAGAGAGAGAGAGAGAGAGACAGACAGAAGCTCCCTCAAAACAGCTGCAATGCAGCAGGCGGAAGTTTTGGTTAACGTGGCTGATAGTATTAATGGGCTGACGTTTTAAGAGAGGATTGGTGAGTGTGAGAGAGAGAGAGAGAGAAACTGAGAGGGAGAGAGAGAGAGGAAAAGGGGGGGGGGGCGAGCAAATAGGGATGATGTGTATGTGTGTGTAAGAGAGAGAGGGAGAGAGAGTATGATAGTTATATTTCAATGGAAGTGGCTTTTCATTGTATTACACTGACCATGACAAGAAGATTTTCCGTGATACATTATTTCGATATACTCAGTTCCTCATACATACATAACATGAGCTGTAAAGGGTACATGAGCATTTGTCTACATCAATAACGGTACCCACTTCTTGTAATGGCCAAAATTAAACTGATAGCATCTTTGCGCAGTACAAAACGTACGACTATTCGGTATAAAGGTCTGCAAATCAGACTATGTAATAAAACGACTGCAATCCCTAAATTCGATTCGACAACTAACGGTCGTTATTTACCAACACAAAGAAATGTTCAAGCCCTTTCCGTTTCAAGGGAAGTTCTAAATTAGTTGTATCTTTAAAATGCCGTTGGAATTCAACCTTTTCATTGTTGGCCTGCAAATGGAACATAGTACCCTTAAAGCATTTAAAAAGCCAGAGCTCTTTCGCCCTCTGGCGGACTGTAGAACTGGTCGACTTGAAGACGGGAAATTTCCACTAGCGGCTAGATATTAGTACTGCATTGGCCACAGAAAAGAGGGCGTCGTAGCCTTGTCGACCCAAGGGTGCATGCAATATCATACTTTATCGCACCCTCTTAAAGCATGCCAACTTCTGCCAGAGCTCAAGCGCCCTCTAATGGACCGTAGCACTGGTCGACTTGAAGACGGGAATATTCCACCAGCGGCTAGATATTAGTACTGCATTGGCCACAACGAAGAGGGCGTCGTAGCTTTGTTGAATCAAGGATGCATGCCATATCTTACTTTATCGCACCCTCTTAAAGCATGCTAACTTCTGCCAGAGCTCTAGCGCCCTCTTATGGACCGTAGCACTGGTCGACATGTATACAGGAACATTCCACCAGCAGCTAGAGAGTAGGACTGCACTGGACACAAAGAAGAGGGCGTCGTAGCCTTGTCGACCCAAGGGTGGATGCCATATCACTGCACAAACGGCAACAAACAAAGGAATGACAGAAACATAATAGAGACTGGTGATGATGAGGATGGTACGAAGTCCCTTCAGTCCCAGCGTACACATCTGGGTGTTGGATGATTCCTGGTATCTTTGGACAGAAACGTGTCTTCGGCGACTAGCTCTTCTAGCTATCAGCAGGAGTCGGGAATTAATGAAGGTAAGCAGAACGAATGGGATGATGTACAACGTCCCAGATATTGCTAAATGGATAGTGGCGTATGTGCCGACATCTATTGTGGCGTAATCATCTGGGTCGATAGGCAAGGAATTATTGTGACACCAGGCTCTCATGAATGAATTGAACGGGAAACCTTGAACAGGGAGATACTGAAAGGATATGCCAAGGAATGCACATTTCATTGCAAGGAGGAGAAAAACGAGTCGCTTAGCTGTGGCTAAACGGGCATACCGGAATGGGTAACAGATGGCCAGATACCGCTGAATATTCATGAGTACCACGTGATAGATCGAACTGAATACCACAAAGGAACAGACGAATGGGATGAAGTGACATGCTTCTTCAAAGGCATAACCATGTCCGAGCCCCATGACCATCCCCTCGGAAACAAAGATCAAAACACCGCCAGCCAGGTCTGCAGTCGCGAGACTGCGGAACATAAGTCGACTGATGCCATCGAAGTCGCGCCGCCAGCGATAGAGGACAACCAAGGCGAAGGAGTTGAATACGATAGTAAGGATTATCATTACACTGAAGAAGGTTGCTTTTATGTGTTTCGACAATCCAGGCCCATAGGACAAGGTGGTGTTCATTACGGGAGACGGAGACGAGAATCCAGAATCCATCTCGACTCGGGCGTCCTCTAAAATTTCCTCAAGAAAACGAAATGTACGGCTCTTCTCCAGGATTTTATATATTATTCTGATCTCCAAGAGTTATACTATTTTGTCATTCCCGTCAACGTTCTTTTGAAATCAGTGTCGACGTATTCAAATGTATTGATAATTACTGCAACATACATCGACGCCTTCTTCAATAATTGTATTATAAATGACTATAAATCCTATCATCAAAGTGCAATATATTTCCAATGCTTTAGGTCCGAACCGAGTTTGTTGCAAACGATAATATACAAATACAATTAGGTACCGTCATCAAGAGATATTCTGTTCTCCAAGAAAAATATTCGCGAGTCATTGGCATCCACATATCGTGTTCATCAGTGCCGATATATTCAATATATCCCGTCAAAATGTAGCTGGACCTGAACGTACCTTCCTACGTAAGAGTCGTTTTGTCAACGGATTTAAAGAGTGACGTACATCTTCCAAGAATGTGTACAATTTGTGTCATCTCGCTTCTATGATGATATGTTACAACGTGGTGATCGATGCCGGGTAACAATAACAATACATCATTTTCTGCACACAAAAAGGTCACTACTACCATTGCATTGTCAATAGGTATGATGCCCATACTTCACATCCGTTACATTGCAAATCCGACTCCAACCATGGTCCATGCTCCAACCCGATGAAAACCCACCACTTTTGGGACATACCGTGTTATACAGCGTTGTGTTCTGTCTGTTATTGTTATGTCGGTCTCGTCAGTGCGACCGGGGTAGTTACCTCTCCAAGCAACAGGTACTGACATGATTCCTTTGCGGAAGCTTCCAAGAGGACGAAGATACTATTCCGTGCCCACACTGACATTTTCTAGAGGCAAACATGATTATTGAGTGTGAGTTATTGATTGGCAGATGAAACCACCACTGGCGAGCTCAGATCACTGCGTGTTTCAAAGGTAATGAAGTTGAAGATAGTGAGCAATCGTATCATCTTACCAAATAGTTCATATTCCAGTAGATACGACATGTCCATTTGATAAGGTTAATCTCCATCGTCTTTGAATAAATCTTCTTTGAAACAATGTCACAAATAATTCTTTCCTTGTTTTATGGATAACACCAACATTCCCGGTTTTAAAAGCAGTTCCTCCGGAAACGCTCCACTTTAAGAGAGAGTTGAGAAACTGGAAACGAAGAAGAAAAAAATCCATACAGAAATTTAACCATCCTAATCAAGTGTTATAATGTGGCATCTAGCAATTGCGACTGCTTACCTTACCCAGGATGTGTACGCCTAGAATATTATTATGGATGGGGCCTCTCACTGAAACATTATTTGTTATGCTTAGTAAACACACAAATCACTCAATCGCTGACACTTAATGATTAACAGTGTGGTGTGCAAATATTAGACAACGGTTCTCCTAATTTATATTGCACTTCATCCATAAAAGTAGTCTTTTATTTTAGTTAATGTCAGATAGTGTTTGCTTTTAATAAGAGAGAACTTCTGATTGTAGTAATACTGCTTCAAATTAAAAACAAGAAGAAATTTCCTTGAGCTCCTCTCCTCATTACGTATTTGAAAAAAATCACTCTGCTACGGCGGAAATTTGACAGATGAAGATGATTAACAAATTGCGTTGGTTTGGCAGAAAAAAAGAGGTAGATAGATGTGGGGAGAGAGAAATAGATGGAGAAAGAGAGAAACAGAGATAGAGAGAAAGAAAGAGAGAGAGAGAGAGAGAGAAACAGAGAGAGGAAAAGGCAATGTGACGTCCTTTTAAGGCACACTGCCAGGGCACTGCCAGCGCCTTAAAAGGACGTCACATTGCCTTAAAAGGATGTCCATGTAGCAGTCTACGTTCTCGTCGTGCAAATCTAAAAGTCCCTAGTAACTCTCATCTCGCATCCATGCCTAGCATGTCTGGAGAATTTACCGGTCCCATCTTACTCTATATTAGTACTATCTTTCTTCTTCAATTTACCTTTCGCTTCTTCTCTCTGCCCATCCTCTCTTTCTCTCAGTCCATTTAACCATCTATCTATCGACCTCTATATCTACCTATCCACCCAATGGGTGGCATTTATCTGTCCTTTCTCTTTCCCCTCTCTATTTCTCTCTCTTCCTCTTTTAGCCGTAACATATTCTATTTTGTTTAATTTCTCTTTTTGTCTCTGTCTAGTGTTTGTGTATTTTTTTCTTCTGTACATTCAGTGAACCTAAACACAACAAGCCTAGCTTTTTAAGTACGTTCATTTTCATTTCCGTATTTGAAGAGCTCGCCTCAAAAAGGTACTAGGCCTACATCCATTTTTTAAATCAAAAATGATTTTTTTTTCCTTCTTTTTTTGTGCATTTTTTTGTGCATTTTTTGTGTGCATTTTTGTACACATTTCCAGTAGCCTCATACACTGACACTTCCAAAAAGCTGAATTTCCCAAAAAAGTAAAACATTGCATTTGGAAATAAGTTTGGTTCCAAAAGGTACTATATTCATTCAAGTTATGCATTGTAACTTGCATACAGTATGCAAGATTTTCGGTTCCAAAAAGTACTACATCTAATTTCGGTTCCAAAAGGTACTACATAAATTAAAAAACATAACTTCATGAAGAATATTTGTGCAGACTTAGATTTTTTTAAAGAGTGGTTTTATACTTGTATCATACAATACTGACATTGCTAACTATGATAATTAAAAAATCGTGTGTTTCTCAGAACTTGTATTTATGGATGTAGTACCTTTTGAAACCGAGCTCTTCATTTAATGAATTACAGAACATTGTTTTATGTTACTAATTACTATGATGCAGGATAACTTAAAGAAATGTTAATGTTTTGTCAAATGTATAATACTTTGTTCATTTTGCATTTAATGTGAATAACAGCAACTATAAATAAAAGAGAAAAGAAGAACAAAAGACAAAGAGATTGCGCCACACCACCTCCTCAAAGGTGAAGTAGTCTTTAATGAGCTATCACATCTTGAGTTTTTTAAAATGATTACATCATTTGCGTACAGCAGTTAAATCCCTTCATGGGGGATCAGAATTCGACATGATATCACAGGAAATGATTGACTGCGATGATTTAATGATTGATGAACATGATGGCACGAAACTAATTTGCAAAGTATCAAGGAAATAAATCTGACTAGATTGAAAGTTGGACGTCGAGAGGAGGAGGGCGGGTAGGTCGGGGTTAATAATTACGCTAGGACGTAATCTTTTCCGTAATCAGTAATGAAAATATAATATTCTTATCCCTCAACCATGCCAAATATCATATTAAACTGTGGCCATTATCAACGATAAACTTTGCTTTTTTAAACTAGTAAAATGTAAATGGTATGTTTAAGGAACTGGAGTTCTGGCAGAGAAGGAAAAGAAAATTCTGCCCAAATAATACGTAAATTACACCAAATATTCCAAACAAAAAAATCATGTTTTCCGCCATTAAGAAAATACTCATATAATATCTTAAGAGCTTCGTTCGTACTAACCAACGAAAACAAACAAACACACACACACACACACACACACACACCCAATCTAGTTTTCACTACACAACATTATATTGATAAGGGTTAAGGGTACAACAACAACAACAACAACAACAAAAACTCTCTTAGGTCTATCTCATTTGATTTAGAATACGTACAAATAGCAAATTCGAAACAATGTTAAACTGCAGTTACGAGTGGTTTCAATAAAACAAATAAAAATATCAGTTGCATGTTTAAACCGTATGGATACAAAGAAAACGCGATTTTTAATTTTAGATTATTTTGAAAGAGTATATATATGATCAACGGCAGAAAATTCGACACATTTGAATCTTTATATTAAAATGGCTTGGATTGGGTTTTTCAATCTTTACTAGTGGCAACACATTAATCCACATTTGTCATTCTACACCCAGGTGTAACTGGGTACTTCATTTCATCGTATATGAAGAAGGGCAAGGTGGTTTCGTTATCACAATTTCTTCCAGCACTTCAACATTTGCCATAAGTTTAGTGCCCTTCGACGGAGTTGAGCACATGTCGACATGTAGATCGGAACATTCCACCAGCAGCTGCAGATTAGAACCGCATTGGTCATAAAGAAGATGGTGTCGTAGCCCTGTCGACTGAGAGAAGATATCGGCAGAATTATAATACATACAACCACGAAAAACGGAATGATAGAAAGGTAAAAGAGACCTGTAATTATGAGAACAGTCCGAAGTCCCTTTAGTCCTGGTGTGCTTACATTGGCGTTAGCTGCTTCCTCGTCAGGTTGTACAGGTAGGACGTGCCTTTGCCGACCCACACGCCTTGCTATAATCAAGAGACGGATGTTGATGTAGGTAAGGACCATCAGTGGAATAATATATAACAGCCCGAATATGGCGTAGAAAATAGAGATGTTACTGCCATCGATCCTGCCGGAAATGATCGTCTTGTGACGACACCAGCCTCTCACGAGTTCATTGAACGGCCAATTTGGAACTGGGAAAAAGGGAGAGGAAATGCCAATAAACGTGAGATCCAAGACCAAGTACAGAACATTAAGTCGCTTGACTGTGGCTATACGGATAAAACGGAATGGGTAAGAGATGGCCAAATAACGCTGAAGATTCATAAGCGCCACGTGGTATATAGAAGTAAACATCATGAAGGTTCCTACGGATGGTAATATCTGGCAGAACGGTTCAAAAACATGCCCTTGATCGAGGTAAAAGACCATACCGTCGAAGACGCCTATCAACACACCACTTACCATGTTTACGATCGCGAGATTGACGAATAACGTTCGACTAATGTCGTCGAACTCGTGACGCCATCGATGCAGTACGACCAAGGCGAACGAGTTAAAGACCACTGTAAGAACTGTCATCAGACCGAAAAAGGTTGAAGACATGTACACCGACCAGCCACGATGGAAAGAACTTGTGTCGTTCATTGCAGACAACGAAGAGGACAAGTTGAGATCCATTGCGACGCGTGA